GTTATTTAATAATAGTTATTTATATTATATTAAATATAATAATAAATATACATTATATTGTAATTATATAATATAATATAATATAATATAATCGTAATTTTTATTTATTTCAGTTATTATTTTAATAATATTATTATGTTTTATATCATAATTATATAATAATAGTTTTTTATTATATTAAATATAATAATAAATATATATTATATTGTAATTATATACATTATATTATAGTGTAATATAATGTAGTCGTATTTTTAACTATCAACAGCAATTCAACATCATAATTTACCAAACGCTATTACACTGATTTTGAAATCAACACAGCTACTGTAATTATAGCTTATCAAACACTCAGCTGCTTTTTGTAACAGCTATTCTTTATTTCAATACAGTTAAAAGTAATTTCAAAATCTACATCACTACCAAACTAAGCCATGGTTTCATTAATTTTATGTAAAATTGAGCAAAGATTGTTCAAATTTAATGAACAGTCATTCCAATTTTGCCCTTTACCAATCGATCAAATTTATTTACTTTTTTTTAGAAAGGGACTAATAAGATGTTTTGAATTAGTTAAGAGAAAATTTCAAGTTTAACTATTATTTTTTCTAATTCTATTATTTATGTCACTGCATAAAATTTTAATGTTGCTACAGAAAATAGCCTGAAAGATACAAATTGATAACCTGTAGGTTATGAAAATAATTTCACGTTAGTTAATGTTCTAAACAAATCCCTTTTTTATGCTCATTTTACATCAATAAATCATATATTTCTACTTTAATTCCCCTCCCAAAACCCATCCTAGGCTTTATATCGCAATTAATTTGTTATGCCATTTTGAATTTGAGTCATATATCCATTGTGGTTCTCCATGAACCCATACGTTATATTCATATGATATTTAGTTTATGTATTCAGAATCATTTTCGTTTTACGTGTATTTTTTATGAGAAAAAATACTATAAAAAACCATAAATCATGATTCAAAATTAATGATGAATATAAAAAATAAACGTCCCTAATTTTGCAACTCATATGTGCTTTATGTCTCAACGTCACAAGTCAATATAGTTGAAATAGTATATAGTCATCAATGTGTTGTTTCTATAATTATTATTAATACTGTTTGTTGTCGTCAGTCGAATCAAGCGATTTCTACGCATCCATCAGATGCCAGCAGAGGTTCTTTTGCCATTCCAGTGTAAGTGTTACTTCGGTTCTGTATACAACCAAAAGCCAGCATCCACAAATTGCACAGACTTGATTAAGCAGACGTTTAGTTTATAAATTTAAAATTATGATTTAAAATTATTTTTAATTTAAATGTATTTTTTATAAAAAAAAATACTGTAATGAATCACGAACTATAATTTAAATTATAACACGAATTTTTATATTAAACACCCCATAAAAATTCCTGTTATGGAGTTTGAATCTTTAGCTCATCAAGTTGTACAACAAATTCAAAATGATACTGTTGGTGTAGAACAGTCTTTGATGTACTTACTCTAATCAAACACATTGCTAGAATAATTTGGTCAAAATGGTGCGGAAAAGTTCTTACATGTAAATTGCATCTATTACATGGCATTTAGAGGATGGCACATGACATAAAATGTTTTTTTTTTTTTTTTTTTAAATAGCGTCTTTAGAAGGTTATTTTAGGCATAAAAACATTGTCCAAAATCACTATTAATGATTGGAAAATAGAATTAGAAGGTTATTTTAGGCATAAAAATATTGTCCAAAATCACTGTTAATGCTTGGAAAATAGAATTAGAAGGTTATTTTTAGGCATAAAAATATTGTCCAATTTTTCCTATGGTCAACTAGTAGTCAGAGGCCCCTAAAAAAAAAATAGTACTCAGAGGGGAAATTTTGAAATTACAAGTATATGGGGTGCAGGTGTAGTTTTCAAGAAGATAGGGTAAATTTAACTAAAACATAAAACTAGAAGGGGATAATATTAAAAACAAAATTCCAGAACGGCAAAAAGAAACAAGCCCAAATCGCCATCATCTCCAACAAATTTTTTTTTTCTTTTTCCTTCGAAGCGATCTTTGTTCGATCGCACCTGCAAACGAAGTTGTTTTTATTTGTTTCCCTCTTTGCTCGGAAAATTGTACCTTTAGGTACAGCAGAGATTTCAAGCATGCTGTTCAAGATTCGAACTCTGTTCGATTCAATGGCGGTAACACCGCTGTATCTGTATCTGTTTCTGTTTCTTGGTCCGAGTAATTTCAGCAATTCCCCTTTCGCACATGGTTTTCCTTCTTCCTCTTCTGATACCACTATGCACACCAACAACTGGGCTGTTCTTGTCTGCACCTCTCGCTTCTGGTAATTCAAGCTTCCATTTTTAGCCCCTTTTTACTTTAATCTAATTCAATTTGCGAAATGAAATGTGATTTTGTTTAGTTATATATATATATATATATATATAAGAAGTCCACTATTTCATGATCATTTAATTCATTTTCAAAATGGTATTGTCCAGGTTTAATTATAGACACATGGCCAACACTTTGTCCTTGTATAGGTAACCAATACTCTTTTTTTTTTTTCTTTTTATTATTCATCTTTTGTGTTATTTTCTCTTTAGGAATCATTTTATTTTGCTTGTTCTTGTTCATTGTGTTCCAGGACAGTTAAGAGACTTGGAATACCTGATGAGAGGATAATACTAATGTTAGCGGATGATATGGCATGTAACGCCCGAAACAAGTATCCTGCTCAAGTTTTCAACAATGAGAACCACAAGCTTAACTTGTATGGAGACAATGTTGAGGTTATTTTTCTTGTTCCTTAGTTTGCTTTTGATGTGTGTGTGTGTATAGAATATATTATGTTCTGCAATGGAGGAAGTGATTTTTACTGGTTTTAAGGCATGCTTTACTTGATAAAGTTGAGAACTCTAATTCCTATTAGGTGGGTATACACTTGAATCATAGGATTGATTTGCTATAATTCGTTATGAACTAGTAAATGTGTCTTAAATGTCGTCAGGTTGATTATCGAGGTTATGAAGTGACTGTTGAAAATTTTTTACGGGTATTGACCGGGCGACATGAAACTGCTGTTCCAAGGTCTAAGCGTCTATTAAGTGATGAAGGAAGCCACATTCTTTTGTATATGACTGGGCATGGGGGAGATGAATTTTTGAAGTTCCAGGACTCGGAAGAGCTCCAGAGTCATGACTTGGCTGATGCTGTTAAACAGATGAAAGAAAAGCGTAGGTCTGTTTGTTGCCTTTGGAATTTCTTATGCAATATGTTGTGTTCAAATTCTAGAATAGATGAAATGGTTTCGGAGGCTACTATTGTGTTCTCTATTATACTACCATGAGTTTCCTGTTTGTAAAATCTATTTTGCTCTCTTGAATGCTTATTTTGTTTTCTTATTATCCATCTTAACTTTGATATCAATTATTGCTGCTAAACAAGGAGCTTTTCTGTTGTTTCATATATGTATTGGCTTTAGATTTAAGGAGCTGCTGATAATGGTGGATACTTGCCAAGCTGCCACTCTCTTCTCTCAGGTTGAGATCTGATTTTATACTTTCATGGATTTATCTTTTAGTTCTAGGGTTTACCATATTTCAGCCATTCAATACTTGGAGATTTTCCTTCGTTATGTTTGTCATTGTCTCTTCCGCCCTTCTGTGCTTAAGGGATCTCGTTTTCGTAATTTGGTTTCAAGTATCTTCTGTCTCTTTATTACCTGAATCTCTTTATGCCCATGCCCGAGAATTGACTTAAAGGCTGAAGATTTGGTCATGTATTGAGTTTTGCAGCTTCAGTCACCTGGAGTTTTGGCTATTGGAAGTAGCATGAAAGGAGAAAACTCATATTCCCATCACTTGGACTCTGATGTATGTATGAAGTTGTTAGAGTTTCCATTTTCTGAACTATTTGTCATATATTGAATTGGTGATGCTATCATTTCTTTTCTCCAAGTTTGTTTGAAACCAGTAGATTGGATATGAGTAGGGTTTTTTTTTTTTTTTTTTTTTTTTTTTTTTTTTTTTTTCCTTTTAATGCTTTTTACATACAGGTTGGAGTTTCCGTTGTGGATCGTTTTACATTTTACACTCTTGCCTTCTTTGAGAGACTAAATATGTATGATAATGCTTCATTAAGCAGGTATATAGATGTAAGATTTCATTATCTTCAAAATTTTAAAGTAGTGCTGGTAACTAAGTTTTCATTTACTTGCTTGTATGGTGTGCCTCTCTCTTCCTTCATGCACTTGGTTAATGGTATACAATTTTCATCGTGTTGTTCTTTGTAAATATTGCATACATGAGATACCTTTGCATGTCCTGAGGGGTTACAGTGGTGTTTCCAGTTTTATAGTATAGATAGATAAGCATTATTTTTCCTTTTAAACTGTGTCTTAACTTTGGGTTGTAATGTCATTTGGCAGTCTTTTCAATTCTTATAACCCAAGCACATTGATGTCAACGGCGTACTATCGAACAGATCTATACCAACGACGTTTGGAAGAGGTCTGGAGACTTATTCCTAATCCATGGATCATTTTGATATAAATGTGCTGAAAAGCAACTATACGAATTTATTATCGAGTATTGAATATTTTATCTTCTGGAATTCCATATTAGATGGAAGCATCCTCTAAACCAGCCTATCTTTTATTTTCTTTAGGTACCAGTGACAAATTTCTTTGGTTCAGTCATGGAAACAATACATACTGATGCAGCATACAGAGCTCCTTCAAGAAAAACTTCCGGAAGAGCTGATATCAAGACGTCTCCAGATAAAATGGTCACTGATGATCAAATCAAAACGACAACAAATTCCAATGTTTTGGATCAAAGTAGCGATCAGAAACAAGCTGTAACTTCTCCACTTTCCCTTTTCGGTATCCATTTATACCATTTGCTTCTTTTACGGCATTGTTATTAACAGAAAGAGCACATGATGCAGGATCAAGCGTGCCCTTTTGCGCGCCTAATGAGTAGTTTTAAAAACAAGGTCCAAACGGTTGAAGAAGCCGATTCCTTAGTGAACTATGGCTTGGTCACGATGATTCCGTTGTTGCTGCTCTCGACGTTGCTATAATATGTGAAGATCTTGATCAGCTTGTTTGATTTAATCTCTTTCAACATTCAGACATTCACGCCAGTAGGTGCATTGTAATTCTTTTACAAGTTTTCTTTAGTGGTAATTGTGATTGGCCCAATCGTATTCACTATGGGTTTAATTTTGGCTTTCTTTGTACTCATCTCTCTATAGATCTGCTTTTCAGAGAGGAGGGTCAGGGTGATATGTAACGCATAATTGTTCTTCTCACAAGTCTTTTCCCCCAAAATTAACATGGTTTCTACGTATCTTGTTTCTTGAGTAAACTTGGTTTTAGAAGACAAAATACATCGAGCTAGATATCTTTGAACATTGGATTTTGATTCAAAATTAAGCACAATTAACCAATATAGGATAAAGTTTAGAGCAATTACTCGCATAGATTTTGATAGTCCCTGCAAAGGGGAAAATCCGTTAAAAAAAAATTTTTTAAGCCAAAATTTTGATATCATCAACCTTAGTATAAAAAAAATAAAATAAAAGAAGAAGAACAAGAAGAAGCGATACCTTTTAATATATATATATATATATATATATATTTACGTGTGTGTGGGGGGCACCTTTGATCCGTGAATATTTCGCAAATTGGCAAATTGTTTTTTGAATATTTAGGGCCCGTTTAGTTTGCTGATTCGAGTTTTTAATTTGAATTGAGATGTGATTTTATGTGAGTTTTTTACTGTAGTAAAAAAGTTAGATGTGATTGTTTGTGAGAGTTTTTTACTATAGTAAAACTCGAATTCTAAACTCGAATCAGCGAAATGAACAGGGCCTTAATTTTGACAAATTATTCTCTCATTTGATAATGATTTCTAAAATTTATCGGGAAACATATACATACACATGATTGTTGAAATTTAGACGTAATACACTGGGTACATATAACGTGATGAGCTACGTCGTTATTTGAGATTCTAATATTTACTCTTTAAATGCGTTTTTTTTTTTTTGTTTAAAAATATATAAATAAAATAAAAATTCATAGATTCCAATTCGAGACAAGTTACAAGCAAAAACACCAAAAACCTGATTTAAAAAAAAAAAACAACTACGACGACGACCAGACGACGGGCAATTGCAGGAAGGTCCCATTGATTGGGTGTGAACAGAAGTAGCGGAGCTCGCAAAAGATAGTAGTTGGACTCTTTGAGCAATACCAAATAGTGGGCCCATTTTTTTTTTAAAGGGCCATGTTGACTTTGTGATTCTGATATACATTGTACAGGCTGGAGCTTCTTCAATAATCGAAAGCAATGCCCAACCCAACAGAAAAGAGAACTCGTCCTTCCAGGAAAGTAACAATTCCTACCAACCAAAAAACAGAGTAAAGCCCAGACGAAGACGAAGAAGAAGAAGAAGAAGAAGAAGATTATGATGCCGTTTAAAGAGGTATGATTTGAGTTCTTCTCCAAATGGGTATGGCTCAGTTCGCTCTCAGCTGATCTTGTAATTAAAAAAATGCAGGAAAAAGAGGCAAAGAAAGAAGCTTTTAGGAAGTATTTAGAATCCAGTGGTGTTCTCGATGCTCTTACCAAAGGTCCAGTCATCTCTCTCTCTCTCTCTCTCTCTCTCTCTCTCTCTTCTATTTTTTCTTTTTTTTTTTTTTTTTTTTTTTTTTTTACTTCTGTTGTTAATTGTTAATTTGATGAATATAAATGATTGATTTTTTTTTCTTTCTTTTTAATCTGGCAGTTCTGGTTGCTTTATATGAGCAAAATGACAAGCCTTCCTCTGCCCTTGAGTAAGCCATTTCTTTTGAGAATGTATATATTTCAATTTGTTCGTCCCAATTTATAGCATATAATTACAAGTTAATGTGGTGAAGCATTAGTATGAATATCGTGTGTAAAGCATGATATCCTGTGCTCTTTATGTTATTGTTGTCACACTTACGCATTTGGCAGTGGCTGATAATCCATTTTTGCATTTTCTTTTTGTCATATTTAACCAGGGCAATTTTCTCAACACGGTGTGTTTGAAACTCATTCTAAAATAATTTTATTTTTTGTATGAAAATAGAAATGAAAATATTTTTAATCTCAGATAAAAATTATTTTTAAAAATGTGTTTAGTAATTTTATCAAGAGATTGTTTTCAATATAAAAAAATTTATTAAATCTATTAATGCGTCTCTCTCTTTGAGAGATAAGAAAATAAAAACAAAAAATGAAAAATTATTAAAAATTATTTTTCATTTTTCTCATATTTTACACCAAACTAAAAAAATCGTTTTCATTTTTTTTTTTTTTGTATTTAATTGTGTCAAACGTCATTTTTTCCGTTTTCATTTTTTCTTTCTCAAAAAATGTGAAAAATAAAAATAAAAAATAACTCCAAACACAGCCAATTAGTTCCATTTTGGGTGAATCCTAACTAGATTTAGATGCTTCATTATTGCCATAAAAGAGTATTGTTATTTGTTACCTCAACATTTTTGAAGCAGATGTGGGTACCAACAAAGCTAAGTATGTGATTATAAGATATTTTTAGAATATCATAATTCCCAAGTGATTAATTTTATTTTTGTTGTTACAGATTCATTCAACAAAAATTAGGGGGTCCATCTGCGTCTGACTATGAAAAGCTACAAGCCGAAATGTCAGATTTGCAAACGAAGTATAACCAACTTTTGGCAGCACACCAAGAAATCAGCAAAGAGGTTCCTTGCAAGATTTTGTTGTCGTTTAGCTACTTGCGTTTAATACACACTGTGGCTAATCCTTGGTGAATTTTGATCCATAATTTTAAAACTAAAATGAATAACTCAGTTGCATACGGCATGTTATGAAGACTTTGGTCAGAGTACTAGCATGAGATGGAAAGATTCAAGTACAATTGGTCTTAGTATGATGTTTTTGAATATGCAGTTTATTTATCCGAAAATGGGTACATAATATGAAATGTACGGTTTGTGATACATACATACATGTTTATGAATTGTTGTTACAATCATCTGTAGGGTCTATCTTAGCAAATAATGGGAAACATGATGGAGTAATAAGGACATCTAAACATCAGAACAATGAGCTGTCTCTGTCCGAGAATTAATCATGTATAAGTCTTCTGTTTGAGTTTGTGATCCTAATTTTGCCTCATTTCATTAGTAAGAGACAAAGTCAGAAAACCATAAATTAGACTTGTTATCAGTGTTTTGGAATACAATTATCTATCAAGATAACTACACGATTCATATTTAGTTTCGAACCTTGTATTTACCATTATTTTCCATAATAGAACAGTTATGACCTTATTATTGTTTGCAGTTGGAGGAAGTTAAAAGTTCACATGATATGGCGCCATCATCTGCCAAGGAGACCACTGATGGAGAGCCTCAAAAAGAGAGGCTCTGAAAGTGAAGACTATATGACAACATTTCGAATAAAATTAGAAGTCGAGCGCGCGAAGCATTTGTTCTTAGGCTGTTGTATTCATCAGAGGCACATATAGTGAGTGCATGTTTGTCTTAATTTTTCCTCTCTCAATTCTGGTGAGAAGAGGCATTGTTTCTGTGTAGTTAACTCATTATCGGTCAAATGCATTGGGTTTAAGTTCCTTTACCAATCCTGCCCTTTTCAATTCTTCTTTTGCTGCATTGTTGTTTCCGTGTAGTTTACTCACTGTGGTTCTGTATTTGCTCCAAGCTATGTCCAAAAACACGACCTTGCTCTTAATTAGTTACAAAGTAGTTAATAATTAAAGATTAATATCCTTTGCTAAAAATACATTATACAGCTTAAGAAAGATATGAATATGAGATTGTTACAATTACAAGGGTCATAATACTAAATTAGATTCGTTGGCGTTGCCAAGAACATACATGGTTAGTCTTGACTTCTTTGCCCCAACTTCATAGACATAGAAATCCACAGTTATAACTGAAAGGGTGAACATTATATTTCTATCTGGGAAAAAAACCTTTTGGCATCTGCTAACAGAAAACAACAAGAAGGGAGACCAAGACTATGACTGTGCAAATCAAAGCCTGCAACAACATTATTTTGCAGCAAGTTAAAACAATCATGATGTAATGTCAATCAATGGAGAAAAGTGAAGAACAACTGTATTTAAATGCAACAATTATCGCATACATAACTTCACAACAACTAGTCTCAACTCTTTACTTACCGCAATGGCGGATGCTGCGAGTCCTGGTCGCTCCCTCGGATCCTTATGGTAATGGTTTCCAAAATAAAGCACTGTGGCATAATACCATAGTGGAGGAAATGCAAACCCCAACAGAAACCTGTTTGAAAAATAACAGAGAAAAGCTTGTAAACCGTGACATATAATAGTTTCTCTCAAATAACTGCTTTAAATGAATCAAATAAAAGAATCTGAACACAACGAATGAGTAGTACTCACGAGAACCATCCAATGCCACAGCCAAAACAAGACAGAGGCTTCTCATAAATCCCACCGGACTCTATCAAAGCGAATTCCCCTATAAAAACACCAAACAACATTTTCTGTTCATAAATATCTTGATTGCCCTTTTGCTTTTCTCAGTTGTATAATTATGGTTTGGCCATGAAAAAGAAAACACTAACCTTGCTTCATCAATGTGGCCCCACCAATGTTCTGCTTGTTTTCTGGCTGGTGCTGTGCTTTGCTCTCATGCATGATGATCAAGTTCAATTGCTTGACTAATTTCGTCAACTCTTTTTTTTTTTTTTTTTTTAACAACTAATGAAAAACTTTGAAGAGAAAATGTTATGAGATTATGAAATGTTTAAAAGAATTTAAGCAAAGTGTGATTATAATGATCATGTTCAGGAAGTTAAAAGGTGGGAAAAACAGAAAGTGTCATGTAAAGTCAAAGCGTGAAGAAGTAAGAACAAAATGAGAGGACCAGTTTTGTTTCTTTGTTTGAAATTATAAACTGTTCCCTCTTTCTTTTTATTTATTTATTTATTTTTTTTTACCGGTATAACTGCTACTCCTTTTTTTGGCCTTTATTCAACACAACTTCTCATTTTTAATTCTACTAACGTGTTTGTTCATTGATTCTGAAGAAGTTCATGCGTTACTGTGATTCTTTAATAAAAAGAAAAAAAAAACATTTAAAAAAAAAAACAGAATCTAATAAATAATGCATTTTTTTTTTGTTTTGATAAAAAAAAAATTCATATTGTGCACATGGCAAGGGGTTTTTCTTTCTCTTTCAGTATAAAAAGAAAAGGACGTTTAAAAATCTGAAAGGAGTTTTGGACAAATTATATAGGAATTATACCTTTTTCAACTTTAGAAATGATAGATTTGAAAATGGCTTATAATTTAACATACAATTTAATTTTTACCTTAGAAATAATATTTTAATTATTTGATACACGATTAGACTTTTTTGTACCTTTTTTTTAAGGAAAATATCTCACAAAACAGCAGATTTTTTTTTTTTCTTTTGAGATAAAAATTAGCAGAAACTAATACTGGTAGAAAATTCCGCATTTGCAGAACCAAGAAAATAGAACAAACACGAACAAATAAAATAATACATTTTATATATATCAAGAATTTAGATCAACGACTTTGACTGAAAGTCAAAACCAAAAAAAAAAAAAAAATCAGTCAAATCGCACCTAAAATCCGATCCAACGGCTGAGATAACCGTATCCCGAAAAAATATATATGTGCATAAAAATAAAAGGAATAAAAAGTAATAAAATAAAAATAAAAAAAAATTCGCATTCCACACACACTCTCTCTACAATCCCTCTCTCTCTCTAACTGGAATGGAACCCAATGAAAACCAACTCAGCTCCTACTACCACCACCCCCAGCCCCACCACCACCAAAGCCCCACCGCCGCCGCAGCCGCCTCGCCGACCAACGGCCTCCTTCCGCCCACCCACTCCGGCGATGGCTCCCACATGGTCTACCCTCACTCCGTCCCCTCCTCCGCCGTGACGTCGCCGCTTGAACCGTCCAAGCGGAAGCGCGGCCGGCCGAGGAAGTACGGCACACCGGAGCAGGCCTTGGCGGCCAAGAAGGCCGCCACGACGTTGTCTCACGCCTCCGCCAAGGAAAAGAAGGACCACAGCGGCGGCGCCGCTTCGCCTTCCTACTCCGCTTCCGCCTCCAAGAAATCGCAGCTCGGGGCTCTTGGTGCGTGATTTTGCTCCCGAAAATTTCTTCCTTTCATAGTTTATTTCGCCTTTTCGTGTCTCGATTTAGCGTGAAATTTTGTAACGCTTCTTCGGAACATTGCGTTATTGGTTTGTCTCAGGGAAAATTCTTCATTTCTCGTCTTCTTTCTTTTGAATTTCTCGTTATCTCTTGGGTTGGTCGTCTTGAAAATTTGATGAATTTGTGCTGTTTCGCGGTGCAATTCTTTCGTTTATATTTTTCTCCCTGCAAATTGGCCCTAAAGCTTAATGGTCCAATGCGTTAATTTGTCCTTTCGGGGTAACAATTGATTTCCATAGAATAATTTTGACATCTCAATCCTTTTCATTCTAAAGTTTTCGACTTTCTTGTGTTTGGAAATGTGGTCATTTTGTATATACACAATTATTGTCATTACAATGATATGATAAACCTAGATTGCAGATAAGAAATGCTTAGGATGAGGAATTGTTGTACCTTTGGTATTGGTCTTTGTCTTTCAAAGATGTCCTTTTTTCCGTACACTATGAAGAATTTCTTTTATTTATGAAAACTTGTCGGGCTTATAATTAAGATCATATATGATAGATAGATAATAGGTTTCTTTATCTAGTGGTGACCCTTAACCATTGTGTAGAAAAAAACGTGATAAAAATTTAAAATTTGTTGACCTATTGGGTCGTATGTCTATCTTTCCACTTACGATAATTCTCGATATAGCATTTGAGATTTCACAATATCATCTTACATGGGGAAAAATTTTACGGTTCCAAAGTTTTATTCTAAAGATAAGGAAACATTATCCCACTAAAAGCATAACAGGTTCAACATAGAGTTAATGCCTAAAAACTTGGATAAATCTCTTAATTCCTATTAGTACTAGTTGTTGACTATTTCAAATAAATAAATATAAAAAATAGTACTAACATGTTTCTTTGCGGTTATGAGTTTTAGATGTGATTTTGAAAACTCATGGCACTGCTCTTCTACTTTTAATTCTTTGATGCAGGCAATGTGGGGCAAGGTTTTACACCACATGTTATTAATGTATCTGCTGGTGAGGTATGCCTGTATTCAGTTATTCAGCAAATTCTAGTGTTCCTTTAGATGTTCACGTATACATGTGACAAAGAGGGTAAATTAGTATAATTGCTATATCTTAATATTTTTCGGTGCATGTTAAATTGATTACTAATTTATTTTACGCCTCTTATCTTGGCACTTATTTCAAAGTACCTTTGCAACACAAATATTCTAAGATAATTCATTCAAAGAACAACGGAAGTGTGATGTTTTTATGTATGGTTATGATGATTGGTTTAAGCTCACTCTGCACTTTTATTTTATGGTATTTTTTCCACTGATATTCACACCAAAGTCTACAAACTCACTGAAGCACTTCCAATAAGAGTTTTATTAGTTCCAATGAGGCATGCTTTGTAAGTTGTTTGTTACTGTGTAGGTTATAGTATACCATTGTATTTGGTGTCTGTGTGTATGAATTTATAAAGATTTAAGTGGTTTAGTTCTGAATAAGAAGTTGATGTTGTTTACTATCGTATTCATGAGTTCTTTAGAGTATTTATATTGCTTGGTTGGAATTTGAAAATGTTGGAGACAATTATTTGAAGCTCTCATGGGCATTTGTGCTGGGAGTAACTAAGACAGCATATTTGAACTCATTTCTATAACTTGTAGCATTTCAAATCAGTTATTCGTTTTGATGTCAGACAACTTTTTGTCGTGGGTTAATTAACTGCACTTTAACTCAGTCTAATTTTCAACCCGTGTATTTGGTTTAGGCGTAAATAGCATTGCTGGTGCTATCTCTGGTTGAAGAGGTTCACGTTGTGTGGAATATATAAAGTTACGATAGTTTGAATAGATTTGAATTTATTGTTTCTTTTGATGTTCATTAGCATAATTCAACTACTGCTCCCCACCCCCCTGAAAAGATACTTGGTATATTAAATTTCATAAATATCAAAATTTTCTGGATACTATTTTCATACTTTCCGTTTCCCGTTACCTAGTTGAATATGGCTTGCTCGAGATGCCAGTTTTTTTTTTTTTTCCTCTACAATTTTACTTAGTTTTCACGTCCTCTTTATTTTATAACCGCTCACATGATCGATGGATGCATTTAGTAGGATGTGGGCCAGAAAATTATGATGTTCATGCATCAGAGTAAGCGTGAAATATGTATTCTCTCTGCCTCTGGTACTATCTCCAATGCATCTCTGCGCCAGCCAGCTACATCAGGAGGCAACATTACATACGAGGTAAACTTTTCTGATTCTTTGTTAAAGTGCACTTGAACTAGATTTGGCAATGATTCTCCTCTGAAGAAAAAAGAGTAAGAGAGTTCAGAGAGTTCATATCTTGCTAATGTTTTGTCGTCAGTCGTCCTCTCTTTCTCTCTCTATTTTTTTTCCCTGTCGCCTGTTACATGTTAGAGTTCTCCATCATAACACAATGATCTCTTCATGTTCTTAAATTAGGGTCGGTTTGACATTATTTCATGCTCTGGGTCTTATATACGTACTGAGCTTGGGGGCAGGACTGGGGGACTAAGTGTGTGTCTATCCAGTACAGATGGTCAAATCATTGGAGGAGGAGTTGGTGGACCACTAAAAGCTGCAGGGCCAGTGCAGGTACTAGTTTGTTGGTTGTGGTTATATTAATGTCATTTCGGTACAAAGTTAGATATTGGTTACATCATGTAGGGCACAAGTGGGACGTGAGATATTAGCTTATTCTTTATTTCTGCGTGGATGAGGGAGGGAGAAAGGGAGATAGATATGTGCTTTGGATTTAATAAATTTATATGTTGTTTGCCATGTCATTGGGTATTGGAAAGCCATTGTGACCAGAACAATTTCAAGTTCCTGTTCCTTACACCTAGCAAGTAAGATGATTCGTTCTTGGATCTTTATGATAAAGTAGTTAAATCTTTTCACAGGTCATTGTTGGTACATTTCTGATCGATACCAAGAAGGATATCAATGCTGGTGTGAAAGGTGATGCTTCAGGCATCAATTTGCCATCACCAGTTGGTGTAACGTCTCCGTCAAGTGTAGGCTTCCGCTCTGCTGTTGACCCTAGTGGAAGAAATGCAGTCAGGGGAAACGATGAACAGCAAGCCATTGGAGGAAGTCACTTCATGATCCAACCCCGGGGCATGCATGTGACCCCTTCACGGCCCACAGAGTGGAGACCTGGTCCGGATGCTAGAAGCACCGGTGGTTATGAATTGTCAGGTATAGTATGGTCTAATACAGACAAGACAATAAATGTGTATTTAATTTATAACCGAAAGAGAGACTCTAAATGGGATCGCTTTCTTTTCAGGAAGAGCAGGTCTTGCACCTCATCAATCTCCAGAAAATGGGGACTATGTTCAAATGCCGGATTAAGGATTTGTTTCGGGGGGGGCTCTGAAAGCAATGCTTTGTGGTAGAAAGATGTAAAATATTTGATCCCGCACTCTTCGTTAGGTAATGCTGTTAATAGTTTGCACAATACATTAGAGAATCATCGCTCTGAAGAGGTCCACTGTAGTAATTTGCTGCCTCCGTTGCTATCAAGGTGTCCTTTTTCTTTTTTCTTTTTCTTTTTCTTTCTTTTTTTTTTTCCCTTGAATTTTGCGTACTGGGTTTGTTGGCTAATTCCAGCTTATACTAGGATGAATAAGTTAGTTCTCATCTAATGCACTTTGGAATTACATCTTTTACATTACTAAAAACTTCTTTTACATTCTCTTATCCTACCCCCTTGAAGTGGCAGTCCATGTCGTGTTACAACACCAGTTAAAATCATGTTACTGAACTACATTGCAGTTTTAGACAGATGTTTAACAATGTACAGTTGGTTGCCGGTAAAGTTTGAGGTGGTTGCATAATCAGTGGTCCTGTCATTGGAAAAGCAATTTAGTAAAAGCTTGGGGACAACAAACAGACTTTGGCGTTTGGAAGAACTCTTTGAATCTAGCATGCAAACAAACAAAAAGTTATAATAATAAGCTCGCTACCAATCGAGCATTGGGACTTTTTATCTTTTTTTATTTTTTTTAACCCTTTCCATCTAGAATTGGGAACCTACTTTCTTTATTGGCACGGCAAATGGTGGAGTTGATGATAGCGATCGTTTGGGGATGAGTACATGGTGGTGCTGATTCGTTGGCTCTTGGTTGGCCCCCACCAGGAGAGATTATTGTCTACAGTAGACCTTTACATGCTTTAGATCAGGGCCCAAATTGATTTGACTAAACCAAACCGGTTGGAGAAAGAAACTATTATATATGACTTGTTCCTCTTGGATCTAACTTTTTAATCTTCATTTACTCTGTCTTTGTCCAACTTTTTAGAATGCTGAATTGGACTTCCCCGTACTTTTGGCACACTGCCAGTGATTCTCTTAAGCTGATTGTAGGTGTGAGCGCTCAAACTTCGACTTTGGAAATCTATCTAAAGCCAATGAGATCAACCATTCTCACCTAGTGATGTTATATCAACTTATTATGTTGAGAAAAAAAGTAGAATAACTGGTTTGCATCTATGGATAATGGGAATCCCTAATCTTATCTTTGCTACTTCCACTCATTTCCATTACACATCTTGATGAGTATTTGGTCAAAACATTTGGGTGGCCTTGAATTTATTTCATTAACTTTGGAATATAAATAAACCACTACTACATGTCTTGGACAAATCCAACGTGTGATCTATTGTGATATTTTAGTGATTGTCATCCTTCAACTAATCCATAATGAAAAAGAAAAGTCCAATTCTTGTGGAACAAACACTATGACACATGATCAAGAACCCACCTATCTGACCCTGACTGCAATTTCCAACACCACGTGTAAACAGATGCATGAATGCCAAAATTAAATAGGGACCATTTTCATCCGTTTCCAACTTTCCATAACAACGCATCATAAAAGAATCCATCTTTGCACATCTCAATGCTCACCATCATCACGTGCGCCACGTGCCCCGGATAAAAACCATTCCCTCTGAGTCAACTCACCCGAGTTGAAAACTGCAACCGCCACATCACGCATTCCCAAACTCCCAACCGCCAAATCCTCACCGTCCAACACTTCTCCTACCAGAACGTTGGACCAATGGAACGGTCTAAAAGACAGTCCCACGTGAAACAAATGAACTCGCGAACACGGTTTCCTAATTACAAAACAAAAAAGTAAATAAATAAAAAAAATGCGTAAATGGAGTTCAGAGAGCTTTGTGGGTCTGTCTAAGAAATCTGACGAGGGGATCGAAGAAAGAGAGAGAGAGTTATAGAGAAGGTCCAGGTTCTCTTCACGTAAAAATTTGTGGGCCCCAAATCAAAATCCCCGCTTTCTGACGCCAGACTGCAGTCGCCACTATCCCACACTAACCTTTCTGTTTCTTGTCCTCTCTCTATCAGTAAAGTATTAGAGAGAGAAAGTGGAAGCAAGCATTGTGAAGGTTTTTTTTTTTTTAATATCTTTTGCATTTAAAGTTGGGGCCTTTTTTCTTTGTAGAAGAAGAGTTGTTTTTCCTTCTATTTTTCGAGTCATTTGGCTTTCTGGGTCGTGAAGTTTTTTCATCTGTGGGCGTGGCTTGGTTGTTGGTTTTGGTGAGAAAATTTGAAGAGTTGGTTTTTATGATGTGATTGTGATTGGAATAAAACTACGGTCGATTGGTGGGCATAATAAGGTGGCTCTTTTTTAGCTTTTCTTTTGTTCCTCTTTTCTTTCTTCTCTCTCTCTCTCTTTTTTTTTTTCTTTTTTTGTGTTTGTCAAGCTTGATAGTTTCACATCTTATATATTTTTGCATGTATTTAAGAACTAAGAACCTTTATCAATAAACTGAAAGACCATAGATACAAGCAATACAGAGTTTTTGAGAACAGAGACCGCAGATGGGCAGAGCTATTTTGTAGAGAAACTAGGTGGGCATTTCAGATCTCGAAATTTCGGAAATTGGTTTTCTTGAGTATTTTGATTGGATGAATATGTTGCGGATTAAGGAAATGGGAATTTAAGCTTTGGGTTTACAGGGCTTTAATCCAAGTAGCTTTCTTCAATTTTTTTTTTTTCCTTCTTAGAGAACTTTATTTTAGCTTTGGGTGGGGTTTCTGAAATTGTGGAACTTTTAGAAAAGAATGGTTTGAATATTAGCAGTTATTTGGGGGCAATGTTAAGAGGATTCACTCTTGGATTGTTGATTTCTTTTTATTTAATTGTCTATGTCTCAGCCATTGATAGTGACATTCCTCATTGTAATTGTGATGATGAGGGCTTTTGGAGCTTACAAACAATTCTAGAGTGTCAGAGAGTGAGTGATTTCTTGATTGCAGTGGCATACTTTTCAATCCCTGTTGAGCTCCTTTACTTTGTTAGCTTCTCAAACCTTCCTTTCAAATGGGTCCTCTTTCAGTTTATTGCATTTATAGTCCTTTGTGGGTTGACCCATTTGCTCAATGGATGGACTTATTACGGTCCTCCCTCTTTCCAACTGATGTTGTCCCTCACCATTGCGAAATTCCTCACAGCCTTGGTCTCTTGTGCAACTGCCATAACCCTTTTGACCTTGATCCCTCTTCTTCTCAAAGTAAAAGTGAGAGAGCTTTTCTTGAGGCAAAATGTCTTGGAATTGGACCAAGAGGTTGGGATGATGAAGAGGCAGAAAGAAGCGAGTTGGCACGTTCGGATGTTGACTAGAGAAATTAGGAAGTCTCTTGATAAACATACCATATTGTATACTACTTTGGTTGAGCTCTCCAAGACGCTGGAGTTGCACAACTGTGCTGTTTGGATGCCAAATGAGGATAGTACGGATATGAACCTGTTCCACGACTTGAAATCAAGATCTTCAAAGAGTTACCCCCGTTCCATACCTATTAATGACCCTGATGTCTTGGAAATAATAGAGAACGAAGGGGTGAGAATAGTGAGGCCTGAATCGGCACTTGGGAATGCAATGAGAGGCGAGCCTGGGGAATTGGGTGCTGTGGCGGCAATTCGGATGCCAATGCTTCGGGTTTCGAATTTCATGGGGGGTACTCCAGAGATGGTCGATACTTGTTATGCCATATTGGTTTTGGTTCTTCCGGCTGCAAATTCTAGAGTTTGGAGCTACCAAGAGCTGGAGATAGTAGAAGTGGTGGCTGACCAAGTGGCCGTGGCCCTTTCTCACGCCGATGTTCTTGAAGAATCCCAGTTGATGAGAGAAAAACTTGCTGAGCAAAATCGCGCATTGCAACAGGCCAAGAAGAACGCGATGATGGCAAGCCAAGCAAGGAACACGTTTCAGAAGGTAATGAGTTATGGAATGAGAAGGCCTATGCATTCAATCTTGGGTTTGCTTTCGATGTTCCACGAGGAGAATATGAGCCTTGACCAGAGGACTATCATAGACACAATGATCAAAACCAGCAGTGTTCTCTCTACTTTGATAAATGATGTTATGGAGATTCCGGCAAAAGACGATGGAAAGTTCCCATTGCAAATGAGACCTTTTGAATTGCATTCCATGATAAAGGAAGTGGTTTGCCTAGTCAAGTGCCTGTGTATGTATAAAGCCTTTGGTTTTGTAACTGATGTCCAGAGCTCTTTGCCTAATCAGGTGATAGGTGATGAAAGAAGGGCTTTTCAAGTTATTTTGCATATGGTTGGGTATCTATTAAGCATCCATAAAGGAGGAGGGACTGTCGTGTTTCGGGTTTTCTCAGAGAGTGGTAGCGAGGGCAGAACTGATAAGGTTCAGGGGATGTGGAGACAGAGTGTTGCAGATAATTTTGTAAGCATAAAGTTTGAATTTGAGATCAGTAGGGTCGGTTCTCATTCATATGGATCAACCTCAGAAACAGATTATGCTAGTAGGAGGCATAATAGCGGCGAAGTTAAGGAGGGCCTGAGCTTCAGCATATGCAAAAGGCTTGTGCAAGTAAGAATTAGTTTTCTGTGTATTGTTCTTTTATGTCGTTCTTAATTGGCAACATTTTTCTCCATTGAAACTAATGTGGTAATACATAAAGTTTACATCTTTATTGTTTCTATGAATTGACATTTGAATCTAGGTGCAACTCAACTATGCATGAGCATATTAGTACATAATTAGTAGCGAGTCGTATAGAAGCTTACAAAAATCTTTATAACTCCCTGATATGTGTAAAGTTTGCAACTTCTGAATTTCTTTAATGTCTGCAGATGATGCAAGGTAATATCTGGATATCTCCAAACCAAGTAGGTCTAGCACAAAGCATGACACTTGTTCTCCGGTTTCAAATCCGACCTTCTTTCGGAAGAAACAGTTTTGTTCCTGTAAGTTCCATAGATCAGCCGAGGTCCAACCCGCAGTTCAGAGGCCTCCGAGTTATACTAGCTGACGATGATGACGTAAACAGGACAGTGACAAAGAAGCTGCTGGAGAAGCTGGGTTGTCAAGTATTGGCTGTTTCTTCGGGTTTCGAGTGCCTGAGTGCTGTTACTGCTGCTGAGAACTCTTGCAGGGTTGTTCTTTTGGACATCCATATGCCTGAGATGGATGGCTTCGAAGTGGCATTGCGAATCCGGAAATACCGCAGCCGTAACTGGCCGTTGATAATAGCCGTGACAGCAAGCGCGGAGGAGCAGGTGAAGGAGAGGTGCCTGCAGATGGGCATGAATGGATTGATTCGGAAACCCGTTGTGTTGCAAGGTTTGGCGGATGAACTTCAAAGAGTCTTTCAGAGGGCTGCTGAAGTCTTGTGAAGAGGAGAAAATCACTCATCAGTGGTATTGGTATTTGCCTTCAAATTTCTAGGGAGTCTCTAAAAAGAGCACACCAAATATAGAGTTCAACCTCGACTTACAGATGTAAAACTTAGTATTCGCTTGACAAAATACAGGTGTTAGACCTTGCTAATCATTTCCATTTTTTAAGCCATATAATCAATGTTATGAATTATATATCAGTGCTTTACTTGGGACGTGTTAATCCAATTTACCAGCGTACATAGTAAGTTTAGACTATTTGCAAGAACTGTTGGTTATTTATTCCTATCCTCAACCATATGACAATAACTGGTTTTAGACTCCAAGATCATGCATGCAAGCATGTAAAAGAGTATCCAAAGTAGTGCTTATAATGTATCAATTGAAAGTAGTCGTTTGTGGGTTACTATTACTTTATTTTTTTTCTATTGAAAGTACAAGATTAAGATATCATTAATGGGTTATTATTATATTAGGAATTGTAGACATGTTTTATTTGTTCAAAATCAAACCAACACGTTCAGCAAAAAAAAAAAAATGGAGGCACCCAACACGAATTAGCAAACAAAATCAACAAAAATTAGTATACACGAATCAGTAAATATTATTGGGTGTTTGTTGATATCTTAACTTTTCTTAGGTCCTTAAGGTTTACCTTGAATTTCACTTTAATTTTTTACTTTTAAAAAATCTTGTATTTAGTTTTTGAGGTTTTATTCTCTTACAATTTTGGTCATTATGTTAGCTAAGTGTTAAATATTTAACATAATTTGTGTAAATTAAAGAACAAAATTGAAAATATCTAAAATTTAGAGATTATTCATAGAAATTAACTTTTTTTTGTATTATTTTAATTCATAAACTTAAAATATTTTCAATTTTGGTTTTTAATTTTTACATATGCTGTCAAAAAATTTAACACTTAGATGACAAAAAGATCAAAACTAAAATAAATTAAAATTTTAAAAACTAATTATAAGACATTTTAAAAATTACAAATTACAAATTAAAATAAGATTAAAAATAAATATCAGAGACTATGACGATTTCCTTTTAACACTAATAAGTTAAGAATAATACACAAGTGGGTTCTCTGATATATCTCTGTATATTTCGGTGAGTGAACATTTTGGTAGAAAGTAGAAACGAATAGAAGAGAATTGTGAATTGATGTGGAAGATGAGAGAAGGAAAGGTTTCAAAATCAGAGGAAGAAGAAAAAGGAGAAGCAGAGTACCACAGCAAGGATTTCGACTGGGAAGACCTCCGTGCCGACGTCGAAAACCACCCCTCTTTTGTCCACCACTTTCAGTTTCATATTCAATCTTCTTCTTCTTCTTGTTCTTCTTCTTCCCAACCAGATTCCGACGCCTGGAAACGCTTTCACATCCGCCATTCCTCTGGCAAGTTCTTCAAGGTTTTACTTCCTCTCTTTTTATATGTATGTATATATAAGGGACACTGTTCGGTCGATTGTTGAAATAGACCCAGTACAAGCTACAAGTTTCTGCATTTTTAATTTCTGGAGCTGCTTCTTCAATTGTTCTTCTTTTATCCTTTGGCTGAAATTTGAATGCTTATTATAGTTTGATTATGCAGTTGATTGATTATAAATTCAGTGATTGTATAACCTTTTTTGTTGCAATTTTCAAATTTTCTTGCTTCTTTTTTTTTTTTTTTTAAGTTTAATTAGTTTTGCAGGAGAGACGTTATTTGTTAAAGGAATTTCCTGAATTAGTCTCTTGCAAAGAAGAAAACTGCAAAGTTCTTGAGGTTGGATGTGGTAATGGCAGTACTGTTCTTCCGATATTACGGTAAGGAATTCGGTTTCTTAAGACTCTTGTTCAATTCTTACAGCCATATTTTCATAGGATTCCTCATATACTTTGCCACTTTATCTAGATCGGTAAATATATAAAAGGTTTGGTATTTTGTTTTTATAAAGGGAAACTGAAAGTACACGACCAATTTTTATGTGGCATGTGCATTTTACTCCTAGCTTTTCATTTGTTATCCTTACAAGGCGATATCTTTCTTTGCAGTGGCAATGAAACTGCCGTCGTTTATGCTTGCGATTGTAGCTCTGAGACTCTTGCGAGGGCGAAAGAGATTGTAGATGCCTCTAATGTAATAGCTTCTGAACAGCGTTTCCGCCCATTTTATTGTGATTTTCCTGTTACCGGGTTTCCATCTTGGTTGGCCTGCAACCGATGCCGCGGGCCATCTCTCCGAGTACAACATACATGTGTATCAGGTTGTTTGTTTCACCTGTTTATTTATCTTAATCAATTGAAAGCGTGATTGGTCTCACACGCAACATAGAGCTCAATAGTTTTGTTTGTTTCTTCAGATGCTGGGGTGAATGATAATAAGGCGGGTTCTGAGGATTCATACTCGTTGAAAGAAAGTGGATGTTGCATAGGTGGGGTGGATTTTGTTGCCTTGGTAAGCAATTTTCTCTCCCGTATGAGCTAAAATTTGCATGGTTATGGCGATTGTAGATGTAAGCTTAAGCACGAAAGAGAGCATCTCACTTTAGAAACTAATCTTTTTGTCTTTATGATAATTGTAAATCTAGTTATTTTTTCTCTGTAAAGAAATTCAAATTTTCTTGTAGCCCTCTTTGGATCAGTAAATCAAGCTTTTCTAAGCACTTATATTCACGAACTAAGAAACTCTTCAAAGATTTTTATGCCAATATAGTTTTCAACAACTGCCGTGTTAACATACTTGTGTATCTGTTTGGAGTCATTGGCTCGATCTCTCTATTCTGTGCATTATATATAACTAGAGAAAGTAGAAAATATTGTTTCGACATATAAATTTTCTTCTTATTATTGTGTAATGTGCCAGATATTCACGCTGTCAGCAATACCGCACAGGCAGATGCCCGTGGCCATCAAGGAGTGCTTTTCGGTTTTAAAGCCTGGAGGCCTACTCTTATTTAGGGATTACGGTAACTAACAAAACAGATAACTAACGGTTTTAGAGTTGAAAAGGCTTATTTTACGGTACATGTTATTTTAAAACCAAATCTTTTCTGATGAAACTCAGGCCTATATGATATGACCATGTTTCGATTTGATCCCGAGCAACGAGTGGGACCGAGGGAGTACATGCGGTCAGATGGAACCCTTTCTTATTTCTTCTGTTTGGATACTGTGAGGGATTTATTCGTGGGAGCCGGATTCATTGAGGTTAGTAATTTTCTCTGTAAGGAGTTGCAGTGTTGCACAACTTGCTTTTGGCAATCTGTAGTTATATTTAGGACTCCATTTCGCATAATGTTTACATATTCTTTCTTGAGAGATTGTCATATCCATTAGCATATAACTTCCAACACTATCATCTATTGCCTAACGCCATGTGTTTGTGTCACTAATGAATCTGTCAGCTCGAACTAGACTATTGTTGCATTAATTCGGTGAATCATCGAAATGGCAAGAGCATGCGAAGGGTTTGGGTGCATGGAAAGTTCCAGAAGCATGTTTGAAGTTATTGCCAGAGCGCCCTCACTGAGATATCCTTCTTAGAGATCTTCCCTAACAATTTCTCTTCTACAATGTAGTTACCTTTGATTACGATGCAGTGCATAACCGGTCGACTGGTTACAGTAGCCCTATTTTTGTGATATTTTGTATGAATCAACAGGTTTATAAAAATCTGATTTTAATATTCTAAGTGATCAACTGATTTTAAAAAATAAATTTCCTTTTTTTCTCTATTTTTGTTACACTTCTGCTGCATCAAATATATATTTTCACTAGTATCAATATTTTTATCCTTGGTGCAATCTGACACTTCAAATACCACAGGCCAAAAGGTATCGTTGGATACACGAGAGCTACGGGTGGTTACTTTTTTTTTTTTTTTTTCTCCCGCTAATATGCATGTGGTTACTTGACTTTAATTGTTCATTCAAGATGACAAAAAATATTATATATATCATTTTATTTAAAAATAAACAATTATCATTCATTTAATAAGAAAAAAAATAAATGGACACAATGGTATCTAATTATTTAAAATGATATAAATAATAAGTTTTTATAAAATTATGATAAATTATGTACATTTCTCTTACACTCTGGAACCCATCTTATTTAACACTAGATATGCACAATCATATCAAAATTATTAAAAAAAAAAAAGGCATTCTTTACCGTGAGATCTCTTAAAAAAAATTGACTGGTAGAGCATTATTTTTTTACCGTTAGATTTATTTTTTAACGGTAAGATCTACAGTAGGAATAGTTTTGTACGGCACATTGTAAATTTTTAGTACGGATCTGCAGAGATCTGACCGTTGCAAAATTAATCAAACGATTAAAAAAAGTGATCTCACCAGTAGGCTTTCTTTTTTTATATATATAAAAAATTTTAAGTTTAACCATTATTTTTTCTAATTTTATTATTTATGTTATTCTAAATAATTAGATGTTATTTTGTCATTTTATTCTATTTTTATTAATTGAACGACACTTAGTTTAATTTTTAGTAGATTTTGAGTGGTTTTTCTAAAAAATGTCAAAAAAAAAAAAAAACAAAGCTAACAGAATCTAAAATAGATCTAGTGATGTTTTAAACAAATCTTGCCACTTTCTAAAGAGACTTTGGCGTTATAAGAGGCTGAATGTTAGCTTCTTGGGTGAGGGAGTGTTGAGACCCGCAAAGAATAGCGCCGACGAGCTCCATGCGAGGGCATCACTGTTGGAGCTGGAGACAATTGGATGTGGCAGATTTGAGGCTTAGTCGGCAGCGGCAAGCCTTGATGAGATGGGTCCATGGTCGTAGGATGCCGGATAGGGAGAAGGAAGGTGTCTTTATCGAACGTTTGGGCATAACATTGATCGTCTGTTAGAGATGGTCCGATGATGGTGGTAATGGATGTCCTCCTTATCATAACTTAAAAATGCAACTAAACAAGCCCTAATTAGTTCAACCAAAAGAATTTTTTTTTTTTTTAGGCTGCTTGGGATTTCAAAGAGTGCTTATGAGAGTAGACCACGATTTTTGAACATTCTTAAGTTTTAACAAAGACTTGGGAGGTAACCGTGACATGATTTCCACTACTGCCTTTACAGGAAGATCGCAAAACCTCCTGCAAATAATAAACAACTTTATGAAAATATCAATATAAACACTTATTCAAGTCTCAAAATCAAAGCATACACGGTTCATAGTCCATAGAGGATTTTATAAGCCTCGTTTAGTTAACTGATTTGAATTTTTAATTCGAGTTGAGATGTAACTTTATATAAAAAATTTTTAACTGTAGTAAAAAAAATTAAAAGTGACTTTTTGTGAGAACTTTTAATTATAATAAAATTAGACTTAAAAACTCAAATCGGTAAAATAAACGGGCCCATAATGTATTATATGAAGACTTGGTACTTGTGTATATGTAAAAGCACATACACACACAGGTATAGACTTATGCATATGTGGTTACTGATGTCAATTGAATAAATTGTATCTACTTTTATATAATATGAGTATGAAAGTTTCTCTGTTTGGGAACTAAGTTGCACTAGTTACCATTGAACTCATGGTGTGTATCATATAATTGTTAAAGAAACGAAGAGAGGACTTGGATGGAAATATTGATCATTATTCATTAGGATATGTAGAAATCGATATTGAGTTTGCCATATTTTCTGATTCACTGTATATATAAGCTCGTTGATATAGACAAACTTGAGTTAGAATTAAACAAACAATAACTACAAGAAGCATTTGAGTAGTCCCAATTCATCCGGAGATACTAACACTTGTCCATTCAACAACACAAATCATAAACAAAGACCTGTAAGTAAACATGACAATCATAATCTCTTACAAAACTGGCTTTAAAATTGTAGAAAAGAAGGAAGAATCACCTCACTTTCCATCACCGGGTTCAAACCCTCTGTTAAGAATCTGAAATGAGGGTAGAAATAGAGAGACATTTTTAAATTTTTTTTTTTTAAAATATGTTATTTACTTCATTTATAATAGGAAAATAGTAGGAAATAAGCCAATACAAAAAGTTTAAGAAAGTATATAGGCCAACTTTTAGTTATAAAAATTAATAGGCCATAACTTGTCAAGTTATGGTTCATAACCAGATAAGTTGTGGACAAATTTATCAAGTTATGGTTCATAGTCAGACAAATTATGGACAAAAACTGAGAATAACTTGTCAAGTTATGGTTCATAACTAGACAAGTTATGGACAAAAACAGTAATTTGACCTATTAAAACTTATGTAAACTATTAACCTATTAATTTTAATTCATCTCAAGTCTTGGCCTATTTCTTTCTTTCTCTCTTTATAATAAGGCACTGCTATTAGCTACGAATAATTTATGGGCTTTTTAGACGTAATGACGTTGAAATATGGGAAATTGTAGTAAATAGTGGATAAAATGAAACTAAATTAAGTAAATAGTAGATTTTAAAACTAACTAAAATAAATAGTATTTTATTGTGTAAATGTTTCATTTATTGTTGGTAAAAAATAATTTATAAAGTAAAAATTATTAATTTACGTGGAAGAAAATCATTTTACCAGTTGTAAAAAAAAATTACACGGAAAGAGAAATTTTTTTACTAGTGGTATATGAAACAGTTGTTTACTTCAAATAATTTAAAATTCTGATATTTACTTAGTTTAGATACATAAATATGTTATTTACTACATTTTCTCCTGAAATATGTACACATATGTGTAAAATATTAAAGTAAATCACAGACTTTACTCTCTAAAAATGTAGTGTTTATAAGATTTTTATCCCTTATTATTGATTAATATCATTTTGACTCATATAATTCTTTTACTAAGGTATTAATTAAGAATAAAAGATAAAAACTTAAGACTCACACACTCTAAACATTTTTGTCTCCTCTTTCCTATATATAAACCATCACAAATAAAAAGTACACGTACATATAATATATGGCAAAATTTTAATAATAAAGTGGAAATATATAAAATTTTTGAAATATTATAAGAATATCAAAATTTAACATTGTAAAGATAATAAACATATAATTATACGGTACAAAATATGACATATGGTGTTCTTTTATTTCAAAGTAAAAGGAAAACAAAAAAAAAAAAAAAACCTCTATGAGTGACTTTTTTTTTATTGAAGACAAAAAACGGGTTAAGGGAGGAGTTCAAGAAATGAAAGGACATAATAAAGAACAACTTTTTTGTAAGGTTTTTTTTTTTTTTTTTTTTTTTGAGAATAACTTTTTCGTAAGTTTAAGAAATTTTCAAATTAAGACCCAGGTGTAAAGAGCTCAAAAATACAGCGTCGACGTACAACAAAGCGGTTTCAGCCATCTCGGGACTAAAATAATCGAATGAAGCCACGTGGACGACTGTGAGCATCTTATAAGTTAAAGTTAAAAGGCCCGTTTAACTTAAAATTAAATGTGATTATTTTTTAAAAATTTTTATTATAATAAATTTTAAATTTTAAATTTAAAACGGTGCAATGAATGAGGTCAAAAGATATTCAATTCTAAAATTTAACAAAGGAACCCAATTGGCCAATTAACTCTGAGTTATCCCCGTCCAATTATCAAAAAAAAAAGAATAT